ATGTTGCGACGGGCATGGAGGCTGCTGAAAGTAATGCCCAGCTACTACAGAATTTACAGCTCAATTCAAAACCATGTGCTGAAGATGTCACGGCCGAAGTCAACAAAGTTGATAAAACACCACGCGCTCGTTCAACTGTTATCGCTGCGGCTTGCGGCACAGTCATCCCAAAGAATGCAAAGATACACAGGCAGTCTGTAACAAAATCCAACAACGTGGACACTTGGCTCGTATGTGCCAGTCCAGTACAAACACATGTTCCCCGGTAGTAAACAACCAACTTTTTGCTATTACACCATAGGAATATCTATGTAACACAATTACCCCAAGTGCACAACCGCCATTTCACGTGCAGCTTTGTGTTAACCAGATTCCGGTGCATTTCGACATTGACACGGACAGTGCATTAACGCTGTGTGGCGAACGAACTCGGTCCCAAAGATGGGCTCCAACGAGCCACACTGAGGTATGTCGGGCGCCCCTGCGATTGCATACATACACAGATGGTGAAGTGAAACTGCTGAGGTGCAGGACGTTGAGGTGTAATATGGAGGATCGACAAACCGAGGAACCATTTACATCGCACTCGATGGTCTAAACCTACTGGTCCGCGACTGGATTCGTCAGCTTCCAGTTCGGCAGGTAAACCATCTTTCCTTACCATCGCAGATACAAACTGTTCCAGCAATATGCAGCAGTATTTGAGACTCCGGAGGAGAAAAAGTTCACCGGTGGACAAGTTAATATCTACCTTCCACCTAGCACACAACCGCGATTCATCAAGACTGGATCATTTCCATATATGATGCAATCTAAGGTAGAAGAGGAACTTCACCGCCTGCAGAAGAGCGGCTTCATAGAGCCAATACAATTATCGGGTTGGGATGCACCAATTGTTCCAGTACTCAAGCCCGATGGATCGATTCGTATGTGTGGAGACTATAAAGTTACCGTCAATTGCAGTGTTCCGGGTGAAAATATCCGATCCCGAAAATTGAGGACGTTTAAACGCAGCTCGGTACCAGCAAGTATTTCTCAACCTTGCATCTCGCGCACGTTTATCAGAAGCTCGAACTACACGAAGACGCCAAAAAGATAACGACGATCAAAAGCCATCGCGGTTTGTTCAGGTACAACAGACTACCATTTGACATCAACTCTGCGCCAACCATTTTCCAGCGAACAATAGAGAACATCATAACAGGGTTGCCTAAAGCTTTCGTATACCTAGACGACATTTTGCTTACGGGGACGACAATTGACGAACATCTACAAACTCTACGACTTGTTCTGGACCGCCTGAAGGAAAATGGTTTGAGGATGAAAGGTGAAAAATGCGTATTCTTGACTCCGCATTGAGTATTTGGTTTTGTATAATTGCTGAGGGACTGAAGACGATAGGAGAAAATTCGGCCTATAGTTGAGGCACCACGACCAAGAAATCAACACTACTTGAGGTCGTTCTTTGGGATGTACAATCACTACTCATGTTTTGTTCGGCAATCAGCCACAATGTTACACCCGTTTCATCGTTTGTTATGCAAGGGCACTCAGTGGGTGTGATCTGAGACGGAGGAATTGGCTTTCTCTCAAGGTAAAAGTGCATTGGCCAGTCCACCGGTTTTGGGCCACTTTGACCCCGAAAAGTACATGACGCTGACAGGTGATGCATCATCGTACGGAGGCGGAGTCGCCCTGTTACAACCTGACGCGAACGGAGTAAACAAACCAGTTGCATTCGCAGACCAAACGAAATTACTCCTAAATTGACAAAGAGGCTTTGTCGGTCGTTTTTGGGGTTGTACAATTTCACCAATACTTGTTCAGGCAGAGATTTTAGATAGACACAGACCACAAGCCCTTACTGAGAATTCTGAGTAAGTCAAAAGCCATACCTAAATGGTCTCGCCCCGGATGCTCCGCTGGGCTCTACTATTCACTGGCTATCAGTATCAATTGAAATATCTTCCCGGGAAGGAGAATCATTGTGCCATGCTCTCAGCCGACTTCTATTACGGGAGGTTCCGAGCCACACGCCAGGTTTGAGAGATTTGCTACAAGTAATATCTTGACTGGATGGTTTGCCGGTGACAGCAACGGAAATAAATTCGGAAACAAGAAATGACCCGGTACTGTTGAAGGTGCGTGATTATATCCTAACCGGTTGACCGGACAGGGTAGATGAAGGTCTAGGAGCACTTCACACTCGAAGAGATGAATTAGGCTTCCAGGACGGTTGCATACGAGTCATCGTCCCCAAACGGTATCGTCAGACAATCCTGTGGAAACTTCATATGGGTCACCAAGGAAATTCAAAGATGAAGGCACTAGCACGTAACTACATCTGGTGGCCGGGAATCGATCAAGAGACAGAACAACTCGTAAAATTGTGTGCTAGCTGTCAAGAAAATAGATCATCCCCCCCAACATGTGCCAATGTCTCCATAGCAATGGCCCTCGTGCCCGTGGGACAGAATACACATTGATTTCTATGGACCCATAGACGGCTTCATGGTTCTGGGTGTGGTGGACGCACATTCCAAATGGATCGAAGCTCGTGCAACCACATCCATGACTGAGTCGACCACTGTGTACATCTTAAGGAATATATTCGCTACCCATGGTGTGCCATATACGGTAGTTTCAGATAACGGCCCGACATTTACCAGCGACAAGTTCGCACAATTCCTACGTCAAACTGGAATCGAACCTGTTCTCTCGGCACCATGTCATCTTTCTTCCAATTGTCTGGCAGCGAGAGCGATTGGGGCAATCAAACTGGGTGTGGCCAAACAATAGTCCGAAACTTCACAAACCCGCCTGGACAACTTCCTGTTATAATATCGAATTAAACCACACGCTACCACGAATCACCCACCGTGTGAGCTTCTGACGGGACGACGTCTGCGCACTCGGTGCAATCTGATTAAACCCAATCTGCATCGAACGGTCGGTAAACGCCAGTCTTTTTGATGAAGCAACGCTACGTGAAAACGGGTGATCGTGTGGTTGAGGCAGACGACAGAGAGTATGTTAAACTGAGGTCAACGGATAAAACTTGGGTCCAAAGGACTACGAGATCAACAATAGATAGTGCAGTGTAAGCGAAATTGGAAGACGGGCGAATACTTCTGCGTCATTTGGACCAAGTGTGCTGACAGCCTGTGAGTCCAAAAGAGGAACAAGCGAATTGCCCACCATCTGCACCTCTGAGAAGAGCACCAGAAATATTATCAAATGAAGACGACGCTGAGCAACGTATGCGGCTGTGACGATCACTTCGTGAGAAGCACAGCGTAGAACACTATCAAACTGGTTACTCTTAATCTAGCGGTGGAGAAAATAAGAATTGCCCCGAAAATCCATTAGTTTAGCGACTAATCTATTATTAACGATTATCCCATCACTTTCGACGTTCTGGAATGTTCTAAGTTCTACACGTGACTACCAACCACCTGAGATGTCGGCCAAATCTATGGGAAACCACTAACCTTGGTAGTTGACCTTCCAATTCCAGAAGTCGAAGGTCAGTAAGAGGCCTAAATACAGCCAAGGTCCGCGGCAGTTGTACAGCGTTTTGTTGACGGCGGTTAACACGTTGTTTTGTCAAGGTCATTTGTGTTCCGCTTTTTCCTTCGGTTGGGCTAGAAATTTTGTGGAGAAGTGTCTATTTCGGAATCGCTTCCAGGGAGAAGACAGGGCAAATGCTTCAACGTCATTTGGACGAAACGCGATGACAGCCTATGAGTCTAGAAGAGGAACAAGCAAATTGCTCTGAGAACAGCACCAGAATCAGTACCAAAAGACGACACTGAGCAACCTATATGACTATGGCGATCACTTCGTCAGTAGCGTATCGTAGAACATTATCAAGCTAGATACTCTTCATCAAGCGGTGGAAGATTGTTGTAATTTAGTATCACGAGCCACGGTCTGTCTGGCGATGCACGTGACTCAAACGCGTGAATAATGGTCCATGTCTCCCGGTCTTATTCCTTCGAGTTTACACCGAATATCGGGTTTGTGGGTGGTGCAGTGCAAGCCACCCATGGTCGCTTTGTGGGCGCAGGCGTCCTGTGGCTGTCCCCGTGGAGGCCAGTGATAGGCAAGTCCGGACACGGATGCCGCCAATCCATATCAAGCGAACCAGTGACTTAGTCGTGTGTACACATTACAGCTGTGCCTTTTGCTTGTCCGTGTTCTTACAATAAAGTAGCTGACGGCCGATTTCGAGGAAATAAAGTTGGTTTAGGTAGCATGATGTGGAATTCATATCGATAGATGGATGGGTTTAGCTTTAAACATGTGAATGCTATGGGTTCTCATTCATTACTGAGTTTGCGACTGCGCAATATCCAGTTGGATTTCCAACCATTGATGTGATCGATACCTATAACCCCACCATGAAAGATGACACGCGCAGATTTTCTACCACCTTCGTTAGCTACCTTTATTGAATGGCTCGTACACACTTCGATGCGAGCTCGCCATTCTGCAGTTCGCTATTCTGATGAGATAGCACTCTTTAGTTTGACGTCTTCGTTCTCAGACGACGTGGCAGCAACTCATCAGCCGTAATCGATTTGCACAACCTTACGATACCCTTGATACTACTTTTCGTTTGAAGAGCGGGTCAGTTGCACTGCGTTACTTGTTTCGGGTCACCACCTGTTTGTGAAACTTGACTTCTATCTTGTTGAGACCAGTTGGTTGACGCTACCTATTTGGTTAACATTCCTGATAGCCTCGTGCATTGACATCTATTGTTCGTCAGCAATGACATGGCTTTGACGAAGACGATCTGTTCGGTAGGAAGGTCAACACAGTTTAAACTCGCATATATGGTATCGCACACATCGTATGGTCTTGCAACTCGTTTGGTTTTATACTGCCCATAAGTATGTGTTCTCTAGGTGAACTAAGACCAGTCATCTCCATCATCATCCTCAGCATTCACATACAATCTGTCGTCGTCCTTTTTGCTTTCCACGTTTACTCAGTCCATTTTTCCGAACCGAACAAATAATCATTCGCCCTCGGAATCAAAGCAATTTCGTGCACAAATCGCTGTTTCCCGCATCCGGTAAGATGCTAGTGGGACCTGCCTTGCGGAAGTCCTTTCTAGAGGAAGTACGTTCCGAATTGATTGCCGTTGAGTGTCGCCATTTGCTCTGCATAAGTGCGTTTTCTTTTCAGTGTTACGGATATCACACACCTTGTTCATGGGCATTCACTGACTGCGACTTTCATGGCGTGGCTTTGTTACTTTTTATGATAGTATTCTCTCCCCACAATCTGTGATGGCATTTTTGTCATGTTTTGTGGTCCCTGATTTTCCCGCTTCCTAACATTCAGTACAATGGGTCTGTTGTACAGTAGAACAAGTCACATATATTAAGATGCCGCTTTAATCTGTACGCATGGCCGACACGCTGTCCGCCAACTCTCACACACCCCGTCCTTTAATCCGTCACACCAGTCACGTGTTTCACCTGATCGACAACGACTGGTGCTAGCCAATCAAAATAATGCAGAGCATAAGTTACGCTCTCCCAGATTCTGATTGACCAGCTGAATTCCTGCACACTTCCCCACAGATGCTTAGCGTTAGGTTACTTTTTAACTATATTTTCGAGGGTCCCAAGTGCCCAGGATTTCATATAGCGTGTACCGATTCGTTTACACTGAAGGGCGCTCGTGTACCCCGCGGATCGCTTTACCTAGACCCACCTGTTTCGTACTAGTTGTTTGTCGTTAGATTTCGATGCACTCTACAGGGGGATTGAAATGCATGAATTGTTCCCATTCAAGCATTATAAGATCGATTGTTGGAGAAATAATTTCCTTCGCTGAATCCCATCAGGTTTCTAACGATTATGACTCAAGCAATATTCTGATTGTGCAGCTATTTCTCACTTTGTGTGCATTTCATGAGTCGCATTTATCCAAAAGATTAGAATGAACTAAAAGTGAGTCGGACGAGACTGCAATCGGGTATGGTTCCCCTAGCCAAATGCCTGAGCCATACCCTTGCCCAAATCCTCCCAATTCATCAAGGTTGTTGATTACATTGGCATCGTTTCGAGATGTCGCAGTGTGATTAGTGAAACTTAACCCGTAACGCATTATCCAAAGTGCTTCAATCAGCTCCTGGTTGCTTTTGCTCTTGCATCACCAATTTCGGGCCTACATTTGTTTGTTATCTGCGGTCTCCTACAAAGTCAACCTTTCTTCCATTGTTTTCAAGGTCTTGAAGTTGCAGAAAATGATCCAGCATTTCTCAGTCTACTCGAAGGAGTTTGGCAAAAACATCACCCTCGAGGACATCTGCTTCAAACCATTGGCTCCTGATAACTTAGAGTGTGGAATTACGAGCCCACTGGAGTATTTCCAAAGTGATCTTGCTACTTTCAATGAAACTGTACGTCTCGGTTGTGCTGTCCAACCATTTTTGGTCACTTTGACATATGCATCTCATTCTTTCTCGTGTATTTATGTCAATCGTCTTCATCCTGCGTGTCAGTAGTGCATTCATCTTCTACACTGACACCTCGTGGTCCCGTGCATGCGCGTGTTGTAGTAGATAACCTCGGTGACCAAACTTGGGAAAGGAATCAGGGGCTTGGTGTGAAATGCCGTCACAATTATCTAGCGAACTCAGAGGCGCCGTAATTTTGTTCCTTCTTCTTTCCTGAGTATACTTGTAGAGTAGTTCGCCTTCAGCTGTCCCTGCTTCATCTCTCGAAGGTGCATAGACGGTCAATGGTCACAATCGACAGATATAGGCCGCTTTAATTCCGTAAGCTTCCGTGCGCACCATAGTCTTTACAGAAGCTGGCAGTAAGCGAGAGTGGTGGCAGCGCCAACTGTTTGACGCTAACTCTTTAGGTGAGCCATGTTTGTGCTATACTTGAACGAAATCTGAATGAACTCGGTCATCTTCCATCTCCCTCCAAACCAATTTCCACTAGTTCGTCTCGAACTGTTAAGGACAACCTCTGTCGACAGTTGCGATGATGTCCAAAGTACTGCGACAGACGACGAAATACAAACAGCGTACTGTCTTTCGGAATGTGGGTATCTACGTAGGTGGCAGCCGTTTTCATTAGATGAATCATTATCAACGGAACAATTTTCCTATAACCTTTGCGGCGTAGCTGCCTGCCATTTCAGCGGGCAACTCTATAACTACTGAAGCTCGCGTGGCGTATGTTATCACTCATCCCTCTACTCCGAATTCATCTGAATCGCGTTCATGCCTCGTTACTTACCCCGTGTGCGCGGCACACATCTTACCTGCACCCTCGTCACACTGTAACCACTCTGGGGTGTCATCATCCCGACACGTTGGTGCTGGAAGGTTCAGTTCAGTTCGTCCCATGCACCGAAATGCATTGGGTCCAGCTGTCTTGTTACATGTTGCCAACCTAATGATGATAAGAATGATGGCGAATCAAGAATAATGAATCGAAAATGGATTATGATTTGGTCACCAAGGTCACGCCGTGGCCGCCAGACATAAGACAATTTCATAGTGCCGCCTACCGCTATGTGTGTTCTTGGAGACCTTGTATGTTCTCTGCGCTCTTCTACCCTTTACTCACCAATGTTAGTGGTAGAACGTCCGAGAACATTCTTTTGATCAAGCAATACGATTTTTCCACATGATTTCTGGAAACAAAATGGATTTCAATCTTGGTAGGCTGCATTGATCCAATCCTTAGGAGGTGCTCCTTCAAATCTATTCATTAGATTTAATATCTAGGAAGCAAAACTCGGGAAGGGGATGCAAGAGTGTCCCTGACATGGTAACACCGCCAAGTGCAGTGGGGTATCTAGCCATTGGGATGACAGATTCAGAGAATCTCATTTGAAAGGATGACAGGTAGTAACCCGCCTCAGCTTTTTGCATGGGTTTCCCCATTCCCTTATGTGATGTCATTGACCCGCTCCCAAGTCGGTCTCACCGAACTAGTCGCAGTACTGGCAAACCACACATGCCAAGGGAGTTTGCCAGAAAACAAGCACAGGTGACTTGATCTGAACAGACATCCATGAGACACTAAAGGGTTCGTTTCCAAATGCCAAATGACCAACTTTGGTATGACTCACTCGGTTATTCGACCATATATGAGTGTTACTTCGCTTGCATCTGCATGAAATCATAGTCGTTTTTCTTATCCGCATACCTCTTAATCGCACCCTTCACCAAATATTGGTCGATTACGAGTTGTGTGAGTGCCACGTTGTCGATCGCCCATGACTCATGTTTCCACCCGGTTATCTAGCGTTTATTCGCATTCATGGTTATTTGGAATTCCAGAGGAGACGCTGAAATCGAGCGCGCAAGGTTTTACCACTTCATTCGAACATACCTTTTAATGGGTATGAAGTTTGGACCAAATTAGCATTGGGTGCAGTCAAATGACTCTGTAGCAGCACACATTCGATCGCTTCTTTTGAAGGCTCAGAACCCTCCAACACAGTAGTTATAAACGCCTTTAGTAGCATCATCTCAACACTATGTTCATTTCCCTGCCCTCCCTCATATTCCCTATTGTATCATGTCATGTTTCTGTAAATCTCGGCTGTATTTCGGTTGCGCTCACGATGAAATGGCATACCTTCTTCCTGATGTTTCCCGATTCTTCGATGTTTCCTTTCCTAGCTTCGCCTCGTTGGCATTGTGATGGCCGATTACCTTGATCACTTACTGTTCTGTGCTAACTCACCGGTTTCCACCGGGGGTTCTTTTCCCAACAAGACGGTCAGCTGCCTCGGCTCATCCAGTATGCCAATCCTACCCGCTGTTGTTTTCGGAGGATTCAATGGTGAGTCCCTCCACCAATAGTTCTGTAATGTGGCTTACTTTTTCGCATCACGAAGTTGGCATTCCTTTGTACTAACGACATGGTAGCTCTGCTTTTTGTTAATCTGTCAGCTTCACCGGTTCATCTTACATACAACTTAGTTGTTTATCACTTTTCAACTGTACTTCATGTGGGACACATTTCGTTTGTGCTCGACACCGTTACAACCGGAAGTTACCTCTCATTTATCATGCCGGAGAGGTTACATTTATGAAGTAACACCAGATGTTATTGTCGGCCGGTGACCGAAAAGATAACCCACTTGCGTCGAAATCCCGAGGTCACCGCTTCACATCCCCTCACGGTATACCATGCCGTCGCACGACTGGCGGTCGTCGCTTGGCAGCGAAGCGTCAGTATGCTGTGCCAACTTACCCTTCTGATGCTCTCTAGGTGAACAACTTGGTGCCGGAGAACATCGTTTTCAGTGCCATACTTATCAACCTTTTCATTTTCATATTAATCACAAAATGTCATTATCGGCTTTTGCGGAAACGGTTGCGAAATAGTGCATGAAATGCGATCAAATAAGGATTTTACTTCGCTCATCTGAATCTGTGACTCAGCTTCCCTGTCGTTTTCGAGCTTTTTCCTGACAGATCGCGATTTCGTTTACTGTCTCGGGAGAGGGGATAGCCGTTATTTCGAATACCGTTAGACTTGGGGGAAATGTACACGGGCAACGAAGCACGTTGAGAAAAACGGAACGTTTAACGCTTCGCCACAGTTTCAGTGACCGACTACATCGGGATTTGCCGTAGGCTTCCTCCCAATCGTTAACATGTACATCGTTCGGGTGTTAGCACGATGCTCGGTAACTGAAAGTTCTCCATATTTCACGATGCATGCATGACTGCTGCACCACTTTTCACTTCTAACCATGGTTCCTCATTGCTTTCTTACCATATATTATGTTCGTTCGTTTTGCCGCTGTTCATTCGGGTGCACTGCACTACACTGACACAGCTATCTTGCTCGATGTTGAGGCCGATTGCCCATAGGAATGATCAGCGCCTACCTCACAGCCATGCTTTCTTGACTACATCGAACTAACGGCGATTGAAATTGATTGGAGCAATGGTTTATGACCAGTATAAAAGCGAATGCTTGATATGTCCCGTAGGATGGTGAGCAGGAAAGTCGCAAAATTAAAAAAACCGTATCAGTAAAAGTGCGTGTGAAATGTATGACTCACCATGGGGTTTGGAGCACCACATCAGGGAGTATTCCCGCCTGGATTATAAGGAGTTATAATGCCGCGCACTGTTTGTGGTACACTAGTGCCATGATCTGGTGGTCATGGGCTATATCATGTAGTGTTAGAGTATCGTCAAGGTGTTTTTTGAGAAGGGATAAAATGGAGGCATTAATTACATGTGCCCGGAGGGCGTTCCAAAATTGTGACACTTGTAGTGAGAAAAACTTTTGTCGACATTCCGATCGGCTGTACTGCGTGACCAGCTTAAACTGATGAACCCTTAGAGATATGCTTTGAATGAGTTTCAAAGGAGAATGGCATGTGTAGTTGGTGTTTCTCAAAATCCGATACACTTTTATGAGATCGCCTCTTAGACGCCGATAACGTCCACTGTATATTTTGTGGGTTTTCTGCCTGAGTGGGTAAGGAAAGCGGGACAAACTTATGACGTTTGTTGTCGCCCTTCGTTGCCAGCGTTGCCACACCTGAATAGCGTATTCTGTGTGCGGCCTCACGTACGCGCCAAGTATTTTCGGAAAGATTGATACGTCAAACTTCTTGAACGCTCTACGAAGAAGCCCAAAATGATCGTTTGCTTTCTTTGTGGCCTTTTCATTTGGTTTCAAAGACCCAAGGTCCTCTTGCACAAACACGCCAAGATCTCATTCATTAGAAGCCCGCTGTAGAATTTCTAGTCCTAAGCGGTAGTTCTGGGTACTCTGATGGCGTATGCTCAGAATTTTACACTTTTTAGTGTTGAAATACAGCATGTTCTCGTTGGAGCACATGTACGCTTTATCCAGGTCCTCCTGTAGGGATGTGTGATCCTCCACTGAGGCGATAGCACACCATATCTTTAGACCATCTACAAGTAGCAGAAAGTTTGAAGATACCATACTTGCAAGATCCTTTTTGAAAACCAGGAACAAACGTACCCTGGGATACGCCGCACTGAACTTCGCTTGGTTCCGACAGTGTGCTGTGGACCGTCACGTTCAGGCGACGTCGAACGAGAAAGTCTATCCATCCTAGAACGGGATCTCCGATACGATACTTCTGGAGTTTGTGCAGTAGAATGCGATGGTCCAGGCGGTTACATGACTTTTAGAAATCCAGCTAGGCTGCATGCACTCCTACCTCAGCGTCCACAGATTCCGTCCAGTCTGCATGAGCTATCAACAGATTAGTGGTACAGGACTGATTTTTGCCAAATCCGTGCGGCTCCGGAACGAGGATTTTGTTATTCTCCAGGTACCCCATGAGCGCCTCAGATATAATGGACTCCATGATCTTGGAGACCACTGGAAGGAGTGTCATTGGGTGATAATTCGCTGGTACTGCACGGCTAAACCTTGTAGATTAGAGTGATGATCCCGTGCTTCCACATCTTGGAGATGTGTATCTCATTACGGCATCGCTGAAAGAGTGTTGCTAACGGTTCGGATAAACCCATAGCAGCAACTTTCAGCGCCTACGTGCGAATGCCGTCCGCACCTGGGGAGCTGTATTCGCGCAAGGACATCAGCCGCTTCAATACAGCTAAGTGAACTGTGTACACTTGGCTTGCGTGTTGCCGTGTTGCGAGGCCTTGCCGAGGCTTCAGTCACGTGCGCAGCTTGCGATCGCCAACCATGTTGTGACAGGCACACAATATCGTTTGCAAGCAAAGCCGGCTGAGGTCGGTGGCGAACTTTCTGGTGTGGGATGTGGCCGACTGGATATCGATCGGGTGGGCTTAGGCCTAGTGGACAGTTTTGATGTGGGCGGTGGAATTCACGCTAATTTGACGATTGTTAGAATGATGGCTGCTAAATGTGTTGCAGCTATCAAGCGGAGTGTCCGATTCTTGTGGTAAAGGAATCGCTGGATAGCGCTAAAAGCATTGTATCGAATGAGGTTACGCATGATGGTATGCACTAGAAAATAACTTAATACGCAACTTGATAGCTGTGGAAATCCCGTTGAACTTGCAATAACGAATGCAATGATGGTGTGCTCTAGACAATCCTGCAGCGATAGGTCCACTGGATAACGCTGATAAATGCAAATCGGATAAGCGTAAGCACAGTAATTTGCGCCGAGAATTGTGAGTGGTAGATCCGAAAACAGTGGAGCGCCGATTCAGCACGACCATGCGGCATGGACATAAGCAACCGAGGAAGCAACCGATGAGGTTGTTTGTTGTCCTGACCAACCGATGAGGGTGCATGAACACCAGAGCCGACCACTAGGGGCGAATTCTAGGCTCATAAAACCAAGTAACAGTTGATCAGATCCGTTACTGCAATATACGATTTATCTTTCCGGCTGTGATTGCCGTTTATTACGCTTTTGGGAGTTTGCCTTATCCAGGAATCCCCAGCAGTGTAGGATCACATCAGTTGTAAGCCGCAGCATAACCCGGTGGGACTTTGACCACCCAATGGGGGGGGGGGAGCGTTCACTTCCCTCTCACTTCGAAGGGCCCTTCCATTGCATCACTTTTCTGACCGAGGAAAAGTTTTCTGACTTCTTCGACTAGCCTTCCGGGCGGTGCATGGAACGAATCAGAATGTTGATTCTTTGACTCTCACTGTCGGTTTCAACACTCGTCCCGACTAGATGACTTCTCACGTGTTGCTTGAGGATGACTGCTGTACTATTACTGTGTGTACCTCTTAAAACTCTTCTCCTCTAGTTCTGCTTAGTAATCCGGCTGCATTCATTGTCCGCTCACAGATGTTCTCCGAAATCCAGATACGCGGCGGCTTGTTTGGCAGATGGCATGTCCCGACTGTTCGGTTTTAGCCCTTAGGGCCAACACTGATGTGGGATGCCGTTTGACTAATTTAGACACAAGCAAATCGCTTTGGCTATTTGTTCGACGGTCTCGATAGGTACTGCGACTTAACAGCATTCGAATGGATATTACTTGTGTAAAACTGACTTCAAAACTACAGGCTAGTCTGCATACCTCGTGAGTGATTGGGGTTACCGGACAAATATAGTATGCCTAATTCACCTTGCACGTTATATTCCATTTCGCCGCTGTTTTACCTTCTGGTTCATCATGAATACTCACAGTCATGTGTCTGAAAGATGTTCCATAGTTCAAGGATGATGAATCTATTTTTGCATGATCAGTGAACGGCCGCCATTGTCTTAAAAAGAACTCTGGGTATTCACGGATCCGGTCAACATGCACAGTTCACTGCATGTTTCTGCCGAATACGGTGTTAGATTCGTGAGCCAAATTGATCACATTTATGCTACTAGATTTGAGCTACAGGAAGTGCTGATTTACCCTTTCATAATTATTGATAGTAATGCGCATTTGGCAGTAACTGGGCCGATCGGCTTTAAGCAGTAACCGGCGCCCCTGTTGGCGATCGTGATGTGAACGCTGGGACTCAGTCACTCCGGACCCATTTACTCAAAGGTGGGTGCGTAAATATCTCTAAAGCAAATATGGTGTGCAGGACAGGCTGGTGCGCATTTTGTGCGCCATCCCTCGAACCGAAATGAGTTAAATTTTGGTGCATATTGCAATCGTTGCTGTCTCTCGTCATGATCACTGTTTTTCTCACTGGCACATACGTTTTCAGACCACTGGGTAACACCATTCCATTCTACACTAGAACTATCGCACCGTGGTGGTAATTACTTACTATATTCATTATCTACACTTGCCCGAACGGAACACTTATCTGGCACATAGAGTGCCGTATCTGCTCCTGTCTATTATGTGTTATCCGATGGCCGCATGGATTATGCGCTTACCTCA